TTGCCTGAACCCAGGAGGCGGAGGTTGCGGTGAGCCGAGATCGCGCCGTTGCACTCCAGCCTGGGTAACGAGCGAAACTCCGTCTCAAAAAAAAAAATAATAATAAAAAAAATAAAGGATCTCATGGTGATTGGCTCCCAAGATACAAATGAACCCTCCCCAGGACAGGATGCATCTACTGCTATTTCAGAGGAGTTCAGACAGCTTCCAGGTCCCCTCCTGGGTGGAGAGACAGATGCCAAGTGACAGCTCAGGAACCAAGCAGTGACCAAACCCCAACACCCGTCCGTCCGTGACCAGGCTGCAGTGGGCTTCTGTGGCTTGGTCTCCCTCTGTCTCCCCATGATAGGCTAGCCTGGATGCCTTTGACCTTGCTGGCTGTTCTGCCACTCCTGCCCTGCCCACTTTCTCTGTTTGACAAATCATACTTCCCCTTCAAAGCAGAGCTTAAATGTCCCTGCTTTTCCCTTCAGTGCAGGGATGTGGGTGTTGGGGGAGGTTGTGGTCCGTATGGCGAGACCACTGTTCTGTGGCAGGGAGGTGCCACATATGATCTTGTTCTTATCCCCTAAGGGACCCAGTGCAGTTCTTAGCAGAGGGTAGACATCCAGTAATATTTGTTGAATGAATGAATGAACTTCGCAAGTCAGCATTACCACCCCTCAACTGTCTTGGTATCCATAATCTTTGAGAAATGAGTGAAGCTCTCTTTTTTTCCCCTTTTTTTGAGATGGAGTCTCGCTCTATTGCCAGGCTGGAGTGCAGTGGCTCAATCTCAGCTCACTGCAACCTCCGCCTCCCAGGAGTGAACCTTTTCTTAGAGAAGAGATCTCACTCTGTCACCCAGTCTGGAGTGCCATGGCGTGATCGTAGCTCACTGCAGCCTCAGACTCCCAGGCTCAAACGATCCTCCTGCCTTGACCTACAGAGTAGCTGGGACTACAGACATGCACCACCACGCCCAGCTAATTTTTGTACTTTTTATAGAGCTGGGGTCTCATTATGTTGTCCAGGCTGGTCTCAAACTCTTGGCTTCAGATGATCCTCCCACCTCGGCTTCCCGAAGTGCTGGGATTACAGCTATGAGCCACCATGCCTGGCCTGAACCTTTTGACCTCAGTTTCCCCATTTGTAAATTGGGGAGAGTGTTTCAATTCAGTTCAACAAACATGCGATGCTGTCATGATGGAGGCTGGGCATGGGGTCAGCCCTGAGGAGGTGCCCAGTTGATGTGGGGGAACCAGACTTGGAGGCCAAAAGGGGAAGAGGTTCAGAGTGAGCTCCAGGAAGACTGGGCTTCTGTGGGAGGTGTGAACCCAGGGGAGGGAGGGGACTCAGGGTGCAGCGGGCAGTGTTCAGGAAACAGGGAGCTAATTGTTCTTTCTTGGCTGGGATTCATGACCTGTATATTAACAGATATAACCTGGCCGGGCGCGGCAGCTCACACCTGTCATCCCAGCACTTCGGGAGGCTGAGGCTGGCGGATCACCTGAGGTCAAGAGTTTGAGACAAGCCTGACCAACATGGTGAATCCCCATCTCCACAGAAAATACAGAAATTGGCCGGGTGTGGTGGCACACACCTGTAATCCCAGCTACTCGGGAGGCTGAGGCTTGAGAATGGCTTGAACCCAGGAGGCAAAGGTTGCAGTGAGCTGAGATCACACTACTGCACTCCAGCCTGGGCAACAGAGCAAAACTCCACCTCAAAAAATGCAAAATAAATAAAATAGGCCGGGCGCAGTGGCTCACGCCTGTAATCCCAGCACTTTGGGAGGCTGAAGCGAGTGAATCATGGATCACAAGGTCAGGAATTCAAGACCAGCCTGGCCAACATGGTGAAACCCCGTCTCTACTAAAAATACAAAAATTAGGTGAGTGTGGTGGCACATGCCTGTAGTCCCAGCTACTCGGGAGGCTGAGGCAGGAGAATCGCTTGAACCCAGGAGGTGGCGGTTGTAGTGAGCTGAGATCACGCCACTGCACTCCAGCCCGGGTGACAGAGCAAGACTCTGTCTCAAAATAAATAAATAAAAATAAAATAGAGAGAGGCAGGGATTTGCCAAGGTGACACGGGTCCCGCTGGGATGTACCTGAGCCTACCTGCTCCTGCCCAGCAGATCTAGCCTCTCACGCCTGCCTCGAGAGGTTGGCAGGGCCCCCTAACTCCCACAGGCCCCCCTCCCTCACTGATGGCCCCCGGTATTATTCAGAGCAACAGCCTGCAGCCAACAGAGCTTACCTGACCACTGGTGGGCGGAGCTTCAAAAGGCAACTCACCTGAGAGGGATACCTTTTGTCCTTGCTCTAGGGGAGAGAAGACAGGCTTCTGGCTTGTTAAAGTTTGCATTTGGGTTTTTCTGCGACTTCCAGTAGCCGGACCTGATGCTGTCTGATGTGGGGGTTGGGGTCCTAGCCTTGGTCCCTGCCCTGGCATCAGACCCCAGTGATGGCTGGGGACACAGGTGGGGGGACACGGACGGGGCGGGGTTGCTGTCCCAGCTGACCTCTCACCCAGGCCTTTTGTCTCCACCGAAACTGCTGATTTGGTCATTTTCTCGCTGACAAAGGCTGTGACCAGCAGCCTCACAAGAGGAGTTTTCCTGGGAAGAGGGAGTTGGGAATAATTTTCAAGCCAGAGCAGAATTCTCTGCGGCTTGCCATGGGCCAGCCATGGGAGAGACGGGCTGCTTTGCACGTGGCCGTCTCTCTGGTATACTGTTTACCTGCTTGTTTATTATTTTACTTTTTGGAGGTAGAGACAGAGCCTTGCTCTGTTGCCCAGGCTGGTCTCAAACTCCTGTTCTCAAGTGATCCTCCCACCTCGGCCTCCCAAAGCGCTGGGATTACAGGCTCCAGGCACCACGCCTGGTCTGTTTTTATTTTATTTTTTATTTTTCATTTTAGAATCTGTGGGATAGCCACAGAAAGATATTTTTGCAGTGTCTGAACTGCTGTTTACAAGGAATTTTGTTATAATGTGGTGAAACACTTATATATGTACGTCCACCAGGAAAATACGCTTCATAAAACTGTGGGGACGGAGCTGGGCTCAGTGGCTCAAGCCTGTCATCCCAGCGAGTGGGAGGGCTGAGGTGGGAGGATCGCTTGAGCCCAGGAGTTGGAGGCTACAGTGAGCTATGATCGTGCCATTGCACTCCAGCCTGAGCAACAGCAAGATCCCATCTTTATTTTACTTTTTAAAAAAATTGTGGGCTAGGTATGGTGGCTCATGCCTGTAATCCCAACACTTTGGGAGGCCAAGACAGGAGGATTGCTTGAGCCCCCAAGTTTGAGACCAGCCTGGGCAACATGATGAAACCCTGTCTCTTCTAAAAACACAAAAAGTTAGCCAGGCATGATGGCAGGTGCCCGTAATCTCACCTACTCAGGAGGCTGACGCAGGAGAATCCCTTGAACCCCGGAGGCGGAGGTTGCCGTGAGCCTAGATCACACCACTGCACTCCAACCTCAGTGACAGAGTGAGACCTTGTCTTAAAAAAAACTGGTAACTGGCTGGGCCCAGTGGCTCACACCTGTAATCCCAGCACTTTGGGAGGCCAAGGCAGGCAGATCATGAGGTCAGGAGTTCTAGACCAGCCTGGCCAATGTGGTGAAACCTCATCTCTACTAAAAATAAAAAATTAGCAAGACGTGGTGACACACGCCTGTAATCCCAGCTACTTGGGAGGCTGAACAGGAGAACTGCTTGAACTGGGGAGGTGGAGGTTGCAGTGAGCCTAGATCCCACCACTGCGCTCCAGTCCAGAGCAGGACTTCCTCTCAAAAAAAAAAAAAAAAAGCTGGGCACGGTGTCCCACGCCT